TCTTCAATGCACAAGCACCCGATGGACTTAAAAGCTTTGGAAGTGCACTATGCATGACATCGATATCATTAGGGAACTACGTGAGTAGCTTCCTTGTGAGCATAGTGATGAAAATATCAGCAACAGACAACATGCCGGGATGGATACCAGGAAACCTTAACAAGGGTCATTTAGACAGATTCTATTTTCTATTAGCTGGTTTGACATTAATAGATTTGGTAGCTTATATTGCATGTGCTAAGTGGTACAAGAATATTAAGCATAGCGAAAAGATTCAGGAACACGAGGAAGTTGACAAGTGTGAAGTCTAATGTACCTGATAATGATCATACCTTAGGCATGTTTTGCCAGAGCCATATGAATAAGAGGAAGATGTGCAATCTCCACAACATTTTGGACAGAGTCTCTGCTTTTGGTATTTGGATTTCCTCCATCTCCAGTGTTCCAACCCAATCGGCTCAAAATCCCCAGCTCTGCAGAATTGTCCAGAGAGTTGGGCTGCTCTTAATTTCTCGGTCCTTCTTTTCTCATTGTTGCTGCTGCATTTGTTGGTTCCGTCATAGTAGTTCTTGATTTAACGAACATTTTGGATTGATATGTAAATGGATTGGCTTTTCCTGTATCCAAGAAACTGTTGAACACTACTCATGTACCCTTAGAAAATTCCCATGTCCAAAAAGATCTCATTAATTTCATATGCAATTTAGAGCTAGAAGAGACAGTCTCCATCTTAATAAACAACTTGCATTGATATGTTTGAGTAAAAAAAGGGCAGTCTGTGCACAAGGCATCCCCTGTTCACACAGGTTCCGTGGAAGAGCCGCACCCCAAGGGGTGTGGTGTAGACAACCTATCCTAATGCAAGCATTAGTGGCTGCTTCGGCGGCTCGAGACAACTTTACCGTTGCTCCCCTTCTATGTTTTGAGTAAGATGGACACAAATAAAAAATCTGTAAGTTTGAGTTTCCGAAAGCATGGAGCAAGAGTTATTAGAAACCTCAAGAGTTTCTCTTCAGTGGAAGCATTTTCCTCGAAAAATAAGTTCCACAAAGAACATGAAATCATTTACTAGTAGCAAAATATAACTATCCGAAGAGGATTCAGGTTATAAAAAGAAAGGCATGTTCTTGGAAAAAGAAACACAACACTATAAACTACACCAAAAAACCTTTATATTGTTTTGCCTTATCTGTGATAATGATGTATTCATTTCTGAGGTCTAGTAAACCAAGAAAATCCAGACAAAACTGAGATGATAGTACACCATCAGAATTACAAGTACTATTGTGCATAAGTTGGGGTCGGCTATAAGAATCCTCACTCATCAAGTTACTCAATTTGAATTCTTCTCGTGCCAATATTATGCAAATACAAATATATTTATTCACTTTTCTCTATTACTCATTTCATGCCAATTTAAACTAACATATAATAAAGTTCACACCTTTCCCGATCTATTATCACGCTCTTCGTGTGCCAAAAACTCAAACTTCTACAAATGCGCTGAACCTCACTGGATATATCAATAGCATTCTCTAATGCAGAGCAGAGCATGCAAACACCGATATACAACTTGGACAGGAATGATACAGAGAAGGCGCCAATGAAGGAGGTACTGGTTCATCCGAATCCAATAGCTTTGGCTTAGACTTTGTATATACAAATAATAGATTTAAAAACTAGTAAAAATTAAACAGGATGTAGTAGAATTGTAAAGCATAACCTACAACTTTAAATTCTTGATCTGCCTCTTGCACGAAACTTAGAAAGACCTCACTTGTGTAGTAGGATAATATATGAACGATAAGCATGAAATATATTCCTTTGTCCCAAAAGTTTTGGCCTTTTTATTTTTGCCTTTCCTAGATTCAAAGTAGGTAAAATTTAACCAAAAATTATAAAATGTAGTTTCCGCACCAAATTGATAAGGAGGAATGCAACTTATACTACTTTTTTTTTTTTACAAGGTAGGAAATCGAACTCTCACGAACAAGGTGAAAATTAAGTTAGACAACTAACTGAACTAGTAAAATTATCCTAACTTATACTACTTTTAACCTCAATAAAATGTATTTACTTACGCTGACTTGGCCTGAAAGTTAATCAAATTGACTCTTAATAAATGAAAAAAAAGCCAAATAAGTGAGAAGACGATAGTAGTTGATAATAAAGCAACTTACTGATGTTACAGGTCTGTTGAGCATATTATTTTTATTATTATGAAACTTTTACCAATTTATGCTACACTATAATTAGCATCAATTAGCTCGGGGAATTTAATTTAATGGCCGTGATTTGATTCCAAGAAACTCGGTTCAAACCCAGTAATCATTCATTAACTGGTACTAATTGGTCCAACCCAATAATCTCCAACCCAATAATCCTTTGTTTCCTATTTCTTTCATGTATATTTGGCTCACTATCTACTTTTGTAATATAACTTGTGTCTACTGCTGTCCAATTTCATTTTTGTTTTACACACATACGATTTCTTGCCTTGAAAATTACCCAAGCTGGTAATTGTGTATAGGATTTATAAATCTAAAAAAATCGTAGCCTCATTCTATAAAGTTTAGCAAGTTGCAACATTACATTATTCCAACAGGGAATCAACAAACAATAAAAAGCAAATAAATTGTTTTGCAAACTCGCGTATATATTTTCTTTTATGTGGAACCATCGGTTCCATTTTATTGTTGGTTGCTCAAGATTCTATCATTCTATATATCCAATTTCTGTTGTTAATAAGTGTGTGCATCTTATCCTCTTTTGATTAGAAAAGTTTTCGAATTTTTTCTAGGAGCTGAAAGTCTAGCCCCGTGTATATAAATATATATATATAGACGTTGATGTCGGGACAGCTTGCGCCTCGACTATATTACCAGATACTTGCTACCTTCCCACCAGCACAAGTATTGAGTAACTCTATCAACCAAGACTCAAATACTGAATGGTTAAACCAGAAAAATGAATGGTTACTTAGAAATCATCCGTGATTAAAAAAGCGCTCGCTTCCTCGCTTTAAGCGAGAAGCGATGCGAAGCGACTCAGGTATAAAAAAGCGACCGCTTCCCACTAAAAAGCGAGAAGCAACCAAGCGATGCGATGCGAAGGGAGCGACCACTTCTTTGTTTTTAAAGAGACCCAGGCTATTTAATTAAAAACGAAGTTGTTCTGTCTTTTATTAAACGAACAATAACAACTAGGGTTTTAAAGCAGAGCATCTGAGAGCATTAGACTAGGGTTTTTCTTCTTCAACTTCAACTTCAACTTCAAGTTTTCAACAGCAACAAGTATGTTCTGATTTTCTCTTTTTCTTTCACTATTTCAACGTCCAAATAGCAGCGAAATGTTGGCGAAATTTTTTTTTACCTTCGGTTCTTTCTCAGAATTGATGCCAATCCTTGGGTTCTTCTTTCTCTGCCCAGTTTTTAACAGAGAAAAACTGCCCTTCCTCTAATTTTTATATCCTTTACATTGAAGTATTGAACATTTGCTTACAATTACATGTGTTGTCTATGTAGTATTTATTTTAATTTTTTTTAAAATTCCATTTCACTTCAAAAAAGCGAGCGCTTCGCTTCTCGCTTTAAGCGAAATGAGGGTTGACGTTTTTCCTCGCTTCACGCTCTTCACAACACTGAAAATCATAAACAATCCAAAGGTAAATTTTCTTAAAAACTTTCACGAGTATTTTATCAAAAGGTAATATAAGCATACAACTTCTTTTTTTATTTTCATCTACATGAAAAAAACTATACTGTTTTCAATTAATTATTTTCCAAATCCAAACGCCAGAGATAATTATAAGAAGAAATTAAGCAAGAAGCGGATTAATAATATTCTGGAAAAGGAAGATTTAGCATGCAACTGATGGTTGGCAGAAGGCATCAGTATATATTCCTTTGCTTGGGTGTAATATTTTTTCTAAAGCAGGAGAAGAACAGTAATAAAAATAGAAAAAAGGGGGAAAAGAGAAAAAATATTCTTTGTATTGGCTTGAGTAATAACATGGAATAGTAGTGTTTGCCTAAAATAGGTACATTAAGCTAAATTTACGAATAAGGAAGAATAAAATTGGTTTAGCATATTAGAATGTAGGGATTTTCATCTCAAGCTGTGGCATCAATAACTTTGGCAAAATAAATACATTTTGCTAAAAATATGATACTTCTTAATTAGAAGATAGAGTTTCATGTTGCAGAACAAAGTTATCCCAATGTCATCTAATGAAATTCGATCATTTTGCTGTTAAATGTGTGATTATCTCATCTAAAAGTTAAAGCGATCAGAGAAAGCACACTTATATTTACTTAATTATATCTTCAACACACTCGCTCCTTGTGCGGATTTAATTTAATTATTTTCATGAGCGAAGCATGTGAAAATTCTTTTTTAAGACTCAACTCTGAAACCTTTGGTTACTCTAATACAATATTGAATTGTGTGATCATATCATCTAAAAATTCAACACATTTTTTGGAATCTTATAAGTCTTATAATTTCTCATGATCAATTAAAGCAAGTAAAAGGCGACCGATGCACAAGACATCCCGCGTTCATAAGAGATAATGCTAATACGCTGGGTCCGAAAAAAGACCGCAACCCAAGAGATATGATGCAGATAGGTTATGCTAATGCAAATACTAATTGCTGCTTTCACGGCTCGATCTCGTATCAACTAAAGCAAGTAACGTTAATAAAGTGTCAAAGTTTGTCCAAGGTCTCCAAATCATCATTTAGCATAGCTTCACAATAATCACCATTTGATGTGTCAAATCAACTGAACCAATTTGACAGACAAGAAAGGCATTGAAATGAAGGATATTGAAATATTATATGGGACCCTCAATATTAGGTAATTTGATGTGTTAAATCATTTAAATCACAATACACAAACAAAAAGTAGTCCTATGCTTACGTCCAAAACATCATGTTAAAAATTCGGTTCTATGCCTATTCTTTCTTTTTTCCTTCTAATTTTGTTATCCTTTTAGTCTCTACCATCCACTTAACTCTCTCAAAATTCTATATATACTTTCACTCACTTACATGTACTAGCAACCTCTTAACTTAAATAGTTTTGAGAATACTCATTTCTCCCCTTTCCCTTCGTTTTCTTCAAATCTTTAATTCAAGCAATTACCTTTGAGTCACTAATAATGGCATGCTTGAAACTCTCCAAAGAAGTTAGTACTCACCATCTTTTTTTTTTCTTGATATATTTTTAGAAAGATTGTTAGTTGTATACTATAAGTTTGAGTCTTATATCTTATTCGCGAGAATTTCTATTTTCCGATATTGTTTGTTCTTTAAATGGCTAAACACACCTATCTCACAAATAGAGCCCAAAAAAAGATCATTTGTTCTTTCTACTTCTTAGTGCCTACCACTTACCAATCTTTGGTTCTTTTCTTGAAGACAGAAGGGTAAATGAAGTGCATATCCATTTCTTCTATGCAAATGTTTTCTCATGCAAAGAACTGTATATAAATATAAATTTAACTTATATACACTGTCCGTATAAATAATATTTACTTTATTACATTTTAATATATTATAGTACGTAACTTACTTTATTTTTCAGGTTACTAGCTAATGTCACTTTTATAGAAAGTTATTCGTGTTATTTTTTAAGGGACTTTACGGTACAAAAATTGTCAATATGTAAAAGTTAAACTTAATTAATATAAATAAATGATCTAACACTTCATTAGAGTTCACTAAATTTACTATATATTTTTTTCTTTTGTCTTTTAGGTGAAAATGATGAAAGGGGAAGAAATAGAATGCACCAAGGATGGAACTGTTGATCTTGATGGAAAACCAGCAATCAGAGAAGCAAGTGGAAAATGGGTGGCTGGAATTATGATTCTCCGTAAGCTTTTTTTCCTTTTTTTCTTCCTAAAATTAATCATATTGTAAAAGTCGTAAATTTATCTCCCGAAAAAGAAACGATAAAACTTGTGATATCTGCATCTGCTTATCTCTCTTTTGAGCTATATCCAGATTAAGAGTATTATTATTATTATTATTATTTATGATAAGCTACAGTTTTTATACATGGTATATACTGTTAGAATCTACATCAATTAAGTGCATGTATCATAATCTGCCTATATATAGTTTGAATAACTTCACCACGAGTGAAGTACACGAACAACCATTCTTAGGGTTATTATTTAAGGATTATTTAATACTTATTTTATCCTGAGAATTTAAAATAAAAATCTTAATTTTGGAATAATTCAGAACATTTGTCTCTTAAAAATTTTGAACTGAAAAACTGAAATTCAGAATATATTGGTTAATTCCTAAATAGCAACCCTTTAGAGTAACAACCTGTTGTTATTTCTACCTTCACCACGTAGATATTGGACTATCCAATATTGAGATATTCGTGTTATATTATTCTAGGTTCAAGATATTCAGTCATGGGAATAAAGTGTAAGAATCTTGTGGTACAAACTACATCGTTTCAAATTATTCTAATTAATTCGTATGACCTATGATAACTTTTCAGGTCATATTCCTAAATCCTAACAAGTAATATTCACTTCCAATATGATTTTACGGACCTAGAGGCTAAGGCTAGAGCTTCTTTTTCTTTTTCTTTTTCTTTTTCTTTGTAATGGAAAAACAATAAAAAGAAAGGTTGATAATGGTGGAATAAGGTGAGGTAATAAACGAAGCCACATATCATGTGTTGGGAAGCTAGAAAATGACAAGAGAGTGAAAAGGCCAAAGCCTAACACTTTTCAGAATAACAAAGCCGTGTGTCAAAAAAATTCGAGAGCTATTGCTGGGCCTATTTGATAGCTTTCACATATACACGTACATAGGTCTTTATCGTATGAAGAACCTAGTGGGATGTGTAAGATTCTTTCATTTATAATTAAAGGCTACGAATTTGAGTATTGAAAAAAAAAAAAAAAAGACGTATGAATTAGCAAAATTTATAGGTAACAAATATCATATGATTGTACCAAAAAATTCCAAAAAAGTACATAGGTATTTGGCTCCTCCGTATTGGGGTAGGGTTTTGTCTATAATAGCAAAATTCCTGTGGAAGAGGAGGAGGGATAAAGAAGTGACGAGAAAAGCATGCACTATTGGGAAAGACATCTTTGGCAATTGGCACATACCTAGGAAATGAAGTGGTGGGGCTACTACGTCATCCTTGACAAAACTCTGCTACTTGGTGGGTGGGTGGGACAATTCTGTGATCTGGACTTTCACTTATCCCTAACTTTTTGCCTTCTTATATATTTATACAATGTATTGGGGTGTATATACGACTTGTTTAGATCATAAGATGATAAAAAGTAAGAAAACGATTTTTACAGTGTCAATAATTTGGACAGGTGAATAGGATAAATTATGATGATCCATACTTAAATAGTGGAGACTTACGAAAAAGTATTGCATATATATTTATTGACCATGATAGTATCCGAGTTAGGTACTTTCGGTAATTCCATAGTTTGCTTGCACGACTTAGTCATATTCTCGTGTGCTGCCTTGGACTTATTTGTCTAAATATACTATCTTGCTATTACTTGTTATCGGTATTCCTTCCATATTCTTTGTTGCTATATCCGATTTAGCTTTCTAACTATTTGTCTTGTTATCGGGGCTTCCTTCACCTTTTTTAGCCGAGGGTCATTCGGAAACAGTCTCCCTATCCTTCCAGGGTAGGGGTAAGGTTGCGTACATTCTACCCTCCCCAGACCTCATTTGGTGGGATTATACTGGGTAGTTGTTGTTGATAGTATCCGCGTTAGGTTGCCCGTATCATCTATTTTATTGGGTAAATGTCTTACCCGTGAGTACAAAATTACAAATATGGGTGCTAATGGGTGTGTGGTAGCGATGGGGTGTTTACTTTCAAAGAAAAGTGCAAGAGTTTCGAATATAGCATAGAGAATTTGCTTCAACATCGAGACATTGTCCTTTTGCATTTAATTAGGAATTCTTGGGTTCATTCAAGAAATAATGAAGTGTCAAATCTAACAGGTAACCTATCAGTCCAACTTTAGACATTGATTGCTTGCTAAAAGTTCATTTGACAAGCCAACCTTCTAGCACATGATAATAACCAAGAAAGCAAGTCCTATCATGGGGTGATTGATATGATATAATGGCTACTAGCCTACTATTTAGGTGTGGTCAGTTTCATAATGTCTTAATTCAGAATTTATATTCCAACTCAATCCAGAAATGGACATTATGATAAAGAACAAGAAAAAAACAGCAGAAATTGTTGTGAAAATAATAAATGGTGTCTCCACAAATCGATATTTCAGGCAACCAATAAAGTTGAACTACGTACGTACGTACGTACTTTTAAAAAGGATAAAGCGACAATCAATTTTTCAAATTGCATTAGGCTTCTACTAATGAGTAATGACAATCATTTCCTTAAGTGCACACTTATCGCATATATTAACCACTAATCCAAACCAGAAAATTCAATTATCAATGTCACTAATACTTCTTCTACTTATTCTTTTGTTTAATTGATATAAAATTTTGGTTTCCATATTGATTATATAGTGAATCAAGCTTTAGCAACTCTAGCATTCTTTGGAGTTGGAGTGAATTTGGTGTTGTTCTTGACAAGAGTGCTGAAAGAAAACAATGCTGATGCTGCTAATAGTGTGAGCAAATGGACTGGCACAGTTTATATATGCTCCCTTGTTGGTGCTTTTCTTAGTGACTCTTACTGGGGAAGATTCAAAACATGTGCCATTTTTCAAGTCATCTATGTAACTGTAAGTATCCATTACCTCCTATCATACTTCGGTACATATTGAAAAACCAATTAAGAATACACTAGCAGAATAATTCACAATCAAGAAGATTTAATATTGGCTGCTACCATCATCCTGCACAAGCGCGATTCCTGCTAATTGTTATTGTTGATTGTAATCACAGGCTGATGGAGCCTATGTTTACTTGGTTCAACTGAACTCAGTATTTCCAGAATTGTGTGTATGTCTATACATATATTGAGAAATACTAAAATTTCAACAAATATTAAATTTTGAACCCCATGATTTCAAAAATACACAGGGTCCAGTGCTAAGAACCTTAAAGGTTGAACCTATCGAGTTTAAATTCAGAATTCACCTCTGATTGTAATAAGTTATCTATCTTGCTCTTACTAAGTCTGGAACTTTGTTGACAGGGATTGGCATTACTAGCACTAGCATCACAACTCTACTTGCTCAAACCTAAAGGTTGCGGGAATCGAACGACTCTATGTGGAGAACATTCAACCATGGGCATTGGTCTGTTCTACATCGCTGTGTACATGATTGCACTAGGATATGGAGGTTATCAGCCAAACATTGCTACCTTTGGGGCTGATCAGTTTGACGAGCAGCATCCAGGGGAGTCTCACTCTAAAGTTGCCTTCTTCAGCTACTTCTACCTATTCATGAACCTCGGGTCGCTTTTCTCCAACACTATTTTAGACTACTTTGAGGATGAAGGAATGTGGGCTCTTGGTTTTTGGGCATCTGCAGCATCTGCTTTTGCAGCATTATTGCTCTTTCTTGGAGGCACTGCTAGGTACAGACACTTCAAGTCTAGTGGCAACCCTCTTGCCAGGTTTGCTCAAGTTTTAGTTGCAGCAACAAAGAAGAGTAGAGTCGAGACACCAGAAACCGAAGATGACTTCTACCAAGGGGAAGACGATGACAACACAACTGGTGGTAGAAAAATGCTACACACCCATGGTTTCAAGTAAGTAGAATGTAGAAATACACTTAGCAGTTCAATCCGCTATGTCTACAAGAATCTCAAATTTATGACCTGACTTTGTCATTCAATTATCATTGATGACTAGTCTATTTACCATTCTATAATGCACTAAACTAGAGTTTTCATGTTGCAGATTCTTGGACAGAGCAGCAGTGGTGACATCAAGGGAACTCGACAACCAGAAGCAGAGGGATCACAACCCGTGGCATCTCTGCCCTATCTCACAAGTTGAGGAGGTTAAATGCATTTTGAGACTGCTGCCCATTTGGCTATGTACCATTATTTACTCTGTAGTTTTCACGCAAATGGCCTCGCTCTTTGTTGAGCAAGGTGATGCCATGAAAACTACAATAGCAAACTTCAGGATTCCAGCAGCAAGCATGTCTACCTTTGACATCCTTAGTGTAGCAGGCGTCATATTTCTAAACCGCAGAGTTCTTAATCCACTAGTCAGTAGGTTTAAGAAGTGCAAGGGTGATCATATTGGGCTAACTGAACTTCAAAGGATGGGTATTGGACTAGTCATAGCAGTGATGGCTATGCTTTCTGCAGGAATTGTGGAGTGCTACAGGCTAAAGTATGCGAGCAATGACTGCAAAAACTGTGGAGGCTCGAGCTCTCTTAACATCTTCTGGCAAGTCCCTCAATATGCTTTTATAGGAGCTTCGGAAGTATTCATGTATGTAGGCCAATTGGAATTTTTCAATGCACAAGCACCCGATGGACTTAAAAGCTTCGGAAGTGCACTATGCATGACATCGATATCGTTGGGGAACTACGTGAGTAGCTTACTTGTAAGCGTAGTGATGAAAATATCGGCAACAGACAAAATGCCTGGATGGATACCAGGAAACCTTAACAAAGGTCATTTAGACAGATTCTATTTTCTATTAGCTGGCTTAACATTAATAGATTTGGTTGCCTATATTGCATGTGCTAAGTGGTACAAGAATATTAAGCATAGCGAAAAGATTCAGGAATATGAGGAAGATGACAAGGTGTGAAGTCTAACGTACCTGACATGGATCATATCTTAGGGATGTTTTGCCAAAGCCATATGAATAAAAGGAAGATATGCAGTCACCATAACATTTTGTTTAGAGTTTCTGCTTCGTATTTGGATTTCCTCCCTCTCCAAAGCTCCAAACTCAGTCAATCCAAAATACTCAGCTCTGCAGAATTCTTCAGGGAGCTGAACCCCTCTAAATGTCTAAGTCATCATTTCTCCTTGTTGCTGCATTTGTTCGCTCTGTTATATTAGTTCTACAATTGACAAGCATTTTGGATTGATATGTAAATGGATTGGCTTTTCCTGTATCCAAGAAACTGTTGAACAATATTGATGTACCCTCAAAGATTTGCGTCTGAAAAGTCTCATTATTTAACATGAAATTCAGAGCTAGAAAAGCCAGTCTCCACCTCAATAAAAAAAACTTGCATGGTATGTTAGGGTAAGATGGCCACAAATACTATATCTGTAAATCCTATTGCCAACAAAGTGCATAAAGAAATTGTGTAAGGTTAGATGGCTGTACATATAGAAATCTCAAGAGCTCTTTTTTTCAGCGGAAGCCATTTCATCACAAAATAAGTTCCACATAGAACATGAAATTATTTACTAGTTGCAAAATATGACTATCCTAAGAGGATTCAGGTCATCAAAGAGAATGCATGTTCTGAGAAAATGAAACACATGATTAGAAACTACACCAAAAAGGCCTTTATATTGTTTTGCTTTATCTATGATGTTGATGTATTCTTTTCCAAGATCTAGTAAACCAAGAAAACTGATAAGGAACTGAGATGATGATGACTAAAAATGGTGAAAACTGAACGATAATGCAACACAAAGATATCTAACTGCAACCTTTCATCCACATGCAAGTTAGAAAGATAATACACCAGCAGAATTACAAGCAATTTTGGAAAGTAGAGAATGTGAATTATTTTGCCACTGATTTGTCAAATGAAGCATTTAGGGTTCATGATTCCCAAGATCTCTATAACTGCATAAGAAAATATCTCGCAGCTGAGAAGGAAGTCAAACAAGACTTGAACCATGGAAACTGTTTCTACATTGTAGAAGACACTCTTTGATGCACCAACCTAAATGATATAACAATTCTAAGAACAAGCCTCTATGATCGGAAACTTTCTACTCTTAAGGAACTTCTATATTTCATCACAGAAGGAATACGTGGAGCTAAAAAGCAATGGAAAAACTGACAAACATAGATTGCTCAACATGATTTCTATATAAACAAACAGTTACAGCATAAATTAACATTGGACCTTACAAACTGCGTATGGTGTGGAATTTCTATGCCAGGTTGGTTGTCCTCCACTTTGGACAAGAGTAAAACACTGCCCATCCTTCACCGTGCTTTTACTCTACAAAATGCAGGAAAGAAAAAGATTATCCACGTGTATTGAGGTGAATCAAAAATAACTCAGGTTACAAACATCAGACACAATTAAAAAGGAGAAGTACCAATAAGAGCTTGAGAGCTCGTGAAACAGCCTCCTCAGTATCATCCGAAAAACTCCATATTAGTTGTTCCTCTTTTTCTGTTCTCGGGGATAACCAAAGAGGACCTACACACTAGGAGGCACCACGAAATCCAGTTATTCGAGGCACTTCCATCCATGATAGACAAATGCCCCAAAGTTATCCACCATCATTGAAAGCACTGAATTTTGTATCACCCTGCTCTCCTATTTCCACTAACAAAGAAGTAAGACTCAACTAGAGAGTTAATGAATAAGTAAATGATTACTAGCAAGTGCAGTTGGTGTACTCATGCTTTTCTACACATCACTTGAATGAACTGAAACAATGGTTTTTCTAATATCAATAGCCCCAGAAAGTTGACTCCCCAAAGCAATATCAAAACATTCATAGCTGCCCTATTTGATTAATTTAAAGCTATTTCTCCTCCTTTCTTTTTGAATCAAGAGTTAAACATAAGAAATTGTATGTGATTCAGATAGCTGTCAATGGAAGGATAGTCAAAATTGTTCTCACATTTCGCTATTTCTCTTAGAAGTGTAGCACTAATTGTACAGACTACAGAGCAAAATCTATTTTCTCATACACACTCTCATTTCATGCCATTTAATCTAACATATAATAAAGTTACTATCTTTCCCAATCTATTAAGTATTTCTAATCAAGTTCTTCACAATCTATTATCGCGATCTTCGTGCGCCAAAAATTTTAACTTTTATAAACGTGCTGAATTTCACTGGATATCTTAATAGCATAGTCTGATGCAGAGCAGCACACACATACAGATATGAACTTTATGCGTTTGGACTTGGAATTCTACGACATTCCATCTAATGTATTGGGTTCATAATCTATAATTTGTAATTATTTAGCAGATTTTTTAACACATATACAGGGTACTCACTGGATCCGCCCCCGTATGCATACACTGATATACAACCTGAACAGGTACGAAACTCAAAAGGGCTTCATGTAATGTATGACAATATATGAAAATTAAGCATCAAAAATTCCTTTTCCCCAAAATATTTGGCTTTTAATTATTTTATTATTTTTTGCTTTCCTAGATTCAAACTAGGCAAAATTTAACAAAACTTCATAAAATGCAGTTTCTACACCAAATTAACATGGAGAAATGCAACTTGTTACTACTACTTAAATTTTGAAAATATGAAATTTATCTAGTCCGCCTTGGCTTGAAAGTTAATCAAATTGACTCTCAATAAGATAACATATGAACACTAAGCATCAAATGTATCCTTTTCCGCAAAATATTTTTTTTTTTTTTTTTTGCCTGATTCAAACTAGGTGAAATTTAACAAAATGATGCTTCGCGCCAAATTGATAAGGAGAAATTTAACTTATACTACTTTAATTTTGAAAATATGAAATTTATCTAGTTTCGCTTGGCTCAACAGTTAATCAAATTGACTCTCAATAAAGGGAAAAAAAAAAAACAAATGAGAAGACGATAGTAGAAGTTGATAATAAACGACTTACACATGTTACAGGTCCATTATAGCATATTATTTGCATCAATCTGCTCGGTGAATTTAACGGTCATTATTTGATTCCGACTACCTTGTTTCCGGCGGCTAAAATCGGAAAATACACAACATTTTACCGACGTTCTTCGCCGGAACAAGGCGATTCGATGCGTCTATTTGTGATAATAAGAAATACCCTAACCCCGGAACCGGGGCCTAGTCATTCTTTGTTTGGATCGACGTTCCGGCTTTGTCCATCGACACCAGTTTATAAATTATACTAGCTCCGTGCAATTTATGTGAACCTGTTTTACTGAGCACCAGTTTAAGAAAAAAATAAAGACTTTTGGAATTTGTGGTCTTAAACAAGTCCCAAATGGGGTCCAGAGTATTTGTGTGGTTATAAAAGTTTCTCATTAAGGGTAAAGTTGTAACTTTAAGCTAAATTATTACCAAATATAGAAAAGGTTCATTCTTTTTGGAACGAACCAAAAAGGAAATAGGTTCACATAAACTGAAACAGAAGGAGTATAAGTTTAGCTATTTTGAATATATCGACATACGTGATTGAAGTTGCACAATTCACGTCCGAAATTATAAATTTTGCCGAAGTTTGACATATTGTTTGTGCGAGAAAACTTCTAAAAGGACATTTTATGAGGTGAGGTATTGGGCCTGCGACAAATAGGTTCAAGAGATGAGAGAATTAAGCATACCCACCAAAAACACTAATTCAATCCATAAGGATGTATCTGAAAATACAATATCTTTGTTAATTGACCGGCCATCAGGAGAAGCAAATACAAACGATTTGATCAATAAGATTCATGAAGTAGCAATTATTAATGTAAAAAAGCCAATTGGAAAGCAAGAGTCATGCTTTTAATCCTCCGAGCTACCAACAAATGAACTATATATCATTTGATCCCTCTATCAACCAAAAAAATGTTAATTGTGATAAAATATGTCATCAAGGGATTTTACTTTATCATGATTCCATTGATTCTATATGACTTATTACTACTCCCGTTTACGCATTTTATTTGTATATGGAGGGAGGTAGGGGGAAATAAAATTTTATTTTTTATTTCATAAATGGGTATGCTAGATCATATAAGACCATATATCTCTATACGGATAGAACGATCCACCAGTGGATTCGCACCTGAGATCTTTCTGTAGATAAGTTAAACTTCAAATGTAATACTTAGGTTCTAATTTGGCAGAGCAAGAACTATCCTATCTAACAAAAATGCATTGCTTTTTACTTGTATCTTAAGACAATTTATGTTCTTTAATCCTTTTTTTTTCTTTCTTGGAACTGAAAACTTAATAAAGCTTTGAATTGTACACTAGAATAAAAGTTTTTCACTATGAGAACACCAATTCATGAATTAGTGAATGGAATACTAAAACTTGTATTCGGTTAGCATTTATATTACAAAACTTTGAAATGTGTATCAAGAAATAATATTTCATAATTTACAAAACCATACAAAAATACCCTCCTTCTGGCAGGGAAATTTAGGAAACAAAAGAAGAAAAAAGAAACTAAATTCAAAGTAAGGAAAACCAGGTTATAAAAATACAGTTAAGATGTCAAAGACCAAATACAAGGGAAAATTCACTCAAAATTATGTCAAAAATTTTTTTACTTACAAAACATTAAACACACTGTACTGGTGCCAAATCTTCATTGCTCAAGTATATGTATGTTGTATCTTACAGAAACGACGTTGATCTCGTGTCTTATCCACCTTTAACATAACATGATTTTGGAAAGATTTGCAGGCTTGTACGTCATACAAGCTATTCTGAATCCCTCGACTCTAGATCCTGGATTCGTCTCTGCATTGACGTACATATGAACGCGATGCTTCATTTCTGATTCCTAACTGAAAACACCAAAAAATTTTGTGTTATTAATACTGAATTACTGTCATGTTTGATGACTACTTATTTGAAGAAGCTTTAAGTCTTACTCCTCACTATCTAGTAGAATCTCAGGATGTACAGCGGCGCTGTTAACATTGAGGACTCTCTGGAGTTTTCGGTGATCAAATACTTCAACTTCTACTGAAAACATTGAACTTACAGGCCGATGATCAGATAGTCTTATTTCCGCTCTCTTGTAAAAGAGTTGTTTTATACCTTTCCCTAACCACAGTATACGGTCACACCTGCACGATATTAAGAAAATAATCATTTCAATGTACAGAAAGGACCCTTGGAGCAACGTTAAAGTTGTTTCCGTGTGACCTATTGGTCATGGTTTCGAACTTTGAACTATGAAATCAGCCACTGATGCTTGCATCAGGGTAGGTTGTTGGAGTGCGGCCCTTCCTCGGACCCTGCGTAA